GGGGGGGGGGGCGTAGAAACAGATCCACTTCATAACGTTACTCAAAATCACGTGATCAAGCAAGATTTGCATGGTTGTCTAATTCTTCTTATTAAGATGCCTGTCTTTTTGTATTAATCACTTAAAAACATTCACAACAGAGGGGGTTAAACAGAATAACTGTGGAATACGATTATTTTTATTAAGATTTTTAAACAATATTTTTATTAATATGTCTTTACAAACAGCAAAGTGGAGTTGCTCCGAGTTCATACATTTTCTATTACTAAATCATAAATTAAACTATTACTTTCCCTTCTATTTTTACATATAACATTTTTAACACCAACTAGAATTATCAGTATATCACGAACTAGGCTTACCGTCAATGAGTGACGATGCCTAATTTATAGCGTAAACAAATACAAAAAAAAAATACTTGCCTCGTGTTCAAATTTGCATTAAATTAAAGGGGAAATCTTTTAAGTTTGGTATTCAGACTTTTTCACTTCCTCTGTATGACAAAAATCTAGTATTTTATTAAGTGCTAATAAGTTGACAAATAAACCTATAGAATAATACACGTTGTTTACGTGCTAGTTTTCATGGAGGTTTTGTGACAGGTCTTGAATTATGTATCGGCCCCTAATGGATGTTTGGGAGTAATCTTACCATCTCGATTTTCTCAGCTTACATTTGTGAATGAAAGAAGGGGGGAGGAGTTGTTTCCTGGCTGGTTAGGATGCAAGCTCACTATAACTTATTAACTCTGTCGTGCGTGATATATGAGAAGTAACTTGACAACGTCACTCAAGGGGCTGTGATTGGACACTTCTCAACTTTTCAGTATGAACCTGACCACTACGGTTCGTGCTTAATGTTGTGTTTGTTCGTCCGCCGGCGTCAGTTGTCTGAGGTTTTTTTTTTTTTACTTGACGACACGATGGACATTTTACTTCATTAGAAAGAACATAATTTTTACCACTGATGATAGTGAAAGCTCGTTCTTGTCGGAAACGCAGGATGAAATGTAGAGATATAACCGTCACGAGATGGCCGCTATCAGATTGGAAACACGCAAAAAATACACAACTGACTGTGTGTTTCAGATACGAAACCATCGCAAACAGGAGAGACGCGGTTGAACAGTTACTTATTAATTTCTTACACAGCTAAATAATTATTAGGGCAAGGTGTAACAGTGTATTTTTATCATGCAAGTTTATCACTTAGCCGATAATGCGTAGTTTTAAAGTATATTTTGATATATTATATCATAACGTCTAACATCAATTGTAAGAGTGCTATCTCTCCTCATTCAATGACATCCCTTACCCTACTCTTAATTTCTTTAAATTTTCTAAAATTTGCTTTTGTTTTGTTTGTGTGTGTGTGTGTGTGTGTTTTATTAAGTTACATTTCATTACAGTTCGATGGTCGTGTAAACTGTCCAATTGATAAACAAAAACACGGTAATCTTTATCAATTGGACAGTTTATACACTAAAATTAACGTTTCATGTCGTCAAAAACACGGTAACCATGACATGAAAACGTTAATTTTAGTAATCTTCCTCGATTCTGTTCTTACTTTCTACTCTCTTCAATTAGCGTCTCATGGAGTTAATAAAAGCCACGGGACTTAGCACTTACGTAGAATTAACTTAACAAACTTAAGAAAAAAAAACATTTTTAGGGAAACACCACATTGTTTTTGCTATGTGGACCAGACATTAAAAGATAACTTAAACCTTTGGCATGAAATTTTTACTACAAGCAGACTGCTTCATTCATTTAAAACACGGTGTTTTGAAGATAAAGAAAACTTTGTGGAAATGGTAACTGTTTTACATGTATCTTACTCTCAGCAAGCATTACACTTAGTAATACGTTATTTTTTTATTTTTGTCTCTGAAAACTGCATGTTTATTTGTCATTAAAATAAAAGATGGCTTGATTATCAAGGGACGGCTCTTCAAGTCCATTAAGGATGGCTTCTTGAACACAGAGTTTCTTATGTTCAGAAAGGTGGGGTTTCGTGAACCGCCTGTCATGGCGTCCTTGAGGCTGGCATGTGATTGCTCTATAGAGTTGTTCATATACTTGTAGCGTTCTGACTTGAATGGTGTCAGCTCTTAACAATTTGTACATTACAAAGCGTATGCATGCAACATTATTTAGTGCCCTCTATCATCACCACAAGTGGGATTTGTTTTTTTTTATTCAGTACTTGAGTTTTAATTTCATATTTTTTTATTCGGTGGCTCAAGTTTCATTTTTACGATTAAAAAAAATCAAGTGTTATTTTAATATTTTCTGTTTAAGAGCACGAATGAATTGCAAGACTAGATCACTAAAAATAACTATACACTATTAGGCTTAACAGAATAAAAGTTTCTCTGAAAGTTCTTTTTTTTTCCATTACCCAGATTCTTTCCAACTTTCTGAATTTTCTTAGTAGGAAAAGAACTGTTTGACGTTATTTTTAAACACAAAAGAATCAACCATAAATGTGAGTGCGCTACTTTTGAAAAACCCTGTAGAAATTGTAAACAGCCTAATCGTCGCTATTAATGAGAGTCTGCCTAAGTAAAGCAGTCTATATAAGCCTGTTAACAGAAAAATAATCTCGTTCTTCCATAACGAAGTGTTATATTGGCTAAAGTTTGTTTGAAAAACTGTCTTTATCGATATAGTCGTAAAACACGCACATTTCAAGCTTTTTAAACAGAACACTCTGTACTAAATTATCAAGTTTTGTGCTCACGTAGAGGTAATATACCCACAATATTCCTGTGTGCTGTAGCGTTAGATCGAAACTAATCTGGAATTTCTTCAACTTACTTGGGCAACTTTGATTGGTCAAGCGTGTACATGATAGGAAGTGACGAAATATACCAACATCCGTTTTTATTACTTGCCAGAAATTAGTTTAAAAAATTAAAGCATACATCTGAGTGAAAAGGTTTCGTGTGTAGACCTCTGCATCTTATTACAGTATAAGTACTTGTGATTAACGACATTTGAAACTTTAATTATCAAGAAAATCAATTATTAGTTTTTGTTTTAATCTCTAGGTGGCTTTTTACAAACTCTCCTGATTGATTAATACAGATCATTCAAGAGAAAAATTTTGCTAGGACTCTTACTGCTGTTTATAAGCTAACTGACTGTTTTTCACACTGGATTTTTAGTATATTGTTACTTATTATTCACTAAAAATTCCGTTAACAAACACTAAAGCTGCATTAATACAT